AGGAGTTTAACATACAAAGTCGTAGGTGCTTCCTCAAGAACTTTCAATGTTTTGTCACAAAGTTAAAAAAAAATCCATCTTTCATTGAGTGTTTGGTATTTGCCTAAGGACTGAGTAAAGTATCTTCTAAGCACTGAAATGAACCATACGACTATTCAAGATGCTGTCACTGACACTAGTCCTGTGGTCTGTCACAATAGGAATTGTGACACAGAGAAGGCAACAAGTCAATTGTTGGAAGCTGGGTACAAACTTAGAATGGCTGCAGGGCCTGAGCTTCATGCACCAGCTTATAGTGCTTTGCTGTTGTGCTGGAAGGTATGTGGAAGCAAAAAGATGTCAGAAGTTCAGCAGGTAAAGTGGAAAGAGAAGAGAGGGAACAAACAGAAAAGAGTGTTTCTGCTTTCTAGTTGAGCTGAGTGGCATGAGAGAGAATGTTCTCAATTTTGTCAGTGATATTTTTCCTATTATTTTACAAACTACTTAATAAGGATTTTATCCCTTCAATCATTCTAAAACTCWAGCATCGACTTTCTGTTCAATGCACAGTAGTCAATAYTACTGTTAGGGTTTGGATATGAGRTGTTACCTAGGAGCTCCTGTTAATGTAGGAATGTTTAGAGGTAAAATGTTGGATTCTGAGAGCTGCAACAATATCAACCCACCCTAGTYTGAATGAACTGGGTGGTAACTGGTGGCAGGCAGGTCATGGCTGCAGGAGGTAGGTCACTGGCGGTGTGCTCTGAAGGGTTCATGTTCCCTGTGGCCTCTCCTCCACTTCTGACAGGTGGGATATCTACTGAATACATTYTGATTGTCATGAATTSAGCAACTTTCCTCTACCACACCCTTGTGCCATAATGTTCCGCCTCACCTCTAAGCTCAGAGAATGGAGTTGGCCCGGCATGGACTGAACCTCTAAAACTGTGAGCCAAAATAAATATATCTTCCTCTAAGTTGTCATTGTCAGGTATTTTGGTCACAGAGATGAAAAGCTGACTATCATAAACACCTCTATTGGAAGATATTTTGCCTGGCTAGGACATCTCATTATATTAGTGCATTTTATTTTTCATTATCTTGAGAGAGTACCCTGCTTATTGTCACTGCTCTGCATTTGGGTGTCTAGGAACACATTYGTCCTGTCTACTTTCACCAAGATATCTGTACATCATATTCTGAGATGACTTGACCAGATGTGTATCTGAAGATAATCTGAATATGCAAATGGATCATAGATACTGTACAACTTGAGCTCCACAAGGACCATGCTTCTCAGACTTTAAGGTGCCTTCAAATCACYTGGAAACATTATTAAACAGCAAGACCTGAGAGTCTGCCTTTCCAACTAGCTTTACTCAAATGAAGCTGCTGATGCCAGTCTTTGGACCACAGTTCAAGGTCGAAGGTACTAAACTAGCATTTTCTTACGTCTATAGAGAAAATATGATTTGATTCCAAAGCCAAGAGAAAAAAGGTATTCCCATAATTTTCTCATTAACCCCCAATTTTTATGTTTGTTTCTAAACAAAGTTATCTATGAGCTATTTTTAAAGGGCTTATATTTGGTTCCAAATCTGTTGGTTCAAGCATTTGTTTTATTTGACTTCTAAGTTTTTGAAATTTATGCCTCTATTATAGATGCTATTATGGAGTTTCTCGTTTGAAACTTCTAGAATCATCTGGCTGCCACTAAAGTATAAGAATTCTTTAATCAGCATAAGCTAAACACAGAATTCTGGACATTAAAGGGACTTCAAAATCAGATTTTAGGATTTCTCTGAAATTCTTTGGCCTAGTGGCCCTATTTTAATTAAAACCAATTTAGGAATTTCCTCAATTTTTACAGAGCTCTTTCAAGTGCCTTTGTCCCTATGGTCTTCTGGTCATTATCAACATCACTCATTTTTGTTCTGACAGGGAGACATATTGCACKCCTAATAGAGGCAAATGTAAAAGGACCTACACTTGTTCCCAAGATCAAATTGTACAAGAGTGACATAAATTAGTCATTGACAGAAATTTACCATTTTGAAAAGAAACATGTTTATTGCTTATCAGTTCAACATAAGTGATCCAAATAATATTATTTAGTCCAGAAATGCATTAATGGAAGCATAGTGCCTAGGACGGAGGAGGTAATGACTCTCTATTGGCAAAACCATACTTAGGGTAGTGTAGTGTTCAGGGGCAYGTGTGTGGCTGTAAGTCAGAAAGGGTGATGGTCAGGCAAAAGGAAGTATAATTACRATTTATGAAAAAGATCAACAGGCTTCAAAAAGATAAATTAAGATGGTAAAGGTGCATCAGAGAAATAAAAGTAATTATTTTTGAAGTGTGTACATGTGAGCTTTTAGTAAAAGTTAGTAAAAACCTAAGTATGATGGATGATTGGATGGGTAGGTGGGTGGATAGACAGCCCGTCTATCTATTGAATACATTCCATGTGCCAGGCACTCGGCCAAATACATGCTAGGTGATTTTGTTCTCCAAAAAAGTCCTTTAAAATTAGTATTATCCCCATATGAAAATTGATAAATATGAGGAATAGAAAAATAMGTGACCTGTCCAAAATCTTTGACCGCATACTTTTTGCTCTTAACCTCTGGTTTCTAACCCTGTATGACAGCTAGAGAGGTGCACTGCTCAGATCTCCCTTAAATACCACACAGGCAATTGCAAAGAATGCATTTAATTGACAGCCTCTGGTGTTAGCCTCCTTAGGACCTGTGTCAGCTCCCTATCAGAGACCCTGATGTTTCTGAAGAGGCTAAGCAGTGACCAAGCATGGCAAGTGTAGCAGGGTCTGGACACTCCTGCCATTATGGGGCATCTATAATGGATGATTTTTCCTCTGGAGCTCTGGTGAGTTGTCATAGAATTCSTCAGATCAGTGTTACAGTCTGAAGCCTCGAACTGCCTAATTCTGCCTCCTCCCACCRTCTCCCCTCTTTTATCATCTCGGGAAATATTCTGAATAAACTTCTTYTACTCCACAGTCCATCTGGGCATCTTTTTCACAGAGAACCCACTGACACACCCTGATTGCAAATATTTGGAGTGCTCTAAAGAGCATTTAGAATTGTTCCATGTGGCAATAAAAGGTTAAATTAGGACAAAATGACAGAACTACTGGAGAAGCAGCTTTCACATAAGGAGGAACTTTCTGATGACTAGAACCACCAAACAATGGCTGCATCAAGACTAAATTTCATATCACTGTAGTCCTTCGGGTCAACTGCAGAACTGCTCCTTGTATGAAAGCTGTGTAGCATTACACATGCCACCCCATACATACAGAATATCTAGGTTGCTAAACATCCTCTATGATAATTGACTAGCAAAACCAAATTGTTCAGGAAATCGCACCAGAAAACCAAACCTGATTTTTTTTTTTTTTTTCAGTGCTCCAATGGGGCTGGTATGACACATCCATACTTGTCCATTCCTAGGGAAGTTCAGTGGTGTCTGGACCAGAATGGCCATTGTCCATCTAGAAGCAAATGAGCAGTTTTCCCCTTTAGTCAGGTGTCCCCTCCATTTTTAATGATAAAAGGGGGAAAGTTTAAAGTGGCTGAAGACCATTTCTGTTCAAAACATAGGGAAAACATAAGTGCCACCAAAGAATGACTTCTTCAGTCAGCATAAGCTAAATCCAGAATTCTGGACATTAAAGGGACTTAAAAATCACATCTTGGGATTTCTTTGGAATTAGTTCTTTGGCCTGGTGGCCCTATTTTAATTAAAACCAATTTAGAAATTTTCTTTTTTTTTTTTTTAAATCAGAACCTCTAGCAAATGAATTAAGGCTGTGAGATGTTTGCCTCCATGAACCATGTGGTGGGATCAAAACAAAACTTTACAAATGCTTAGGTTGAAAAACAGTCTGTAATGCAAGGATCAACACCTAATAAGTTATTTTTTGTTGGTGCATTATAATTATACACAATAATGGGATTCTTGTGATACCTCTATTCCTGCACATAACATAACTTGGTCAATTTAATTTCACAGTATTTCCCCTTTCCCTGACCCTCCTCCCTCCCCTGTTTACATTCCTCTACTCTATTGGTCTCCCTCTTATTTTTGAGATTTTACCATACTCTCTTCTCTCACACTGGAAGCTAGAGGAAAAAGAAAAATATATTCCCCTTGACTTTGAGTTTTGCTTATTTTACTTAATATAATGCTCTCAAGTTCTACCTGATGTAGTTCTAACACAAATTATTTTCAGGTAACTTGCCCACTATAGCCAGAAAGATGTTTTTCCTCGAGCCCTTGTTTCCCTCCCTTCATCAAGACACAGGCACACCAAGGGGGGCAGACATATTTTGTGGCCTTTCAAGATTTCCATGATGGTTATATTATATAATCATATCTGAGAGTAACATGAAGGGCCGGGAAAGTTTGGCAGAAAAAAAAAATCTAACATAATCAGCATAGGAATCTGTATATAAGGAGGCTTTCGTTACATGTACAAATATTTATTAAGTACCCACCAAGAACTAGGCTCCCTTGCAGGTGCCTGGGATAAAACAAAATGATCAACTGAGTTCCTAATGTTATGAAGTTTTGTACATAAAGACCTCAAGAAACTTGACTGACCCTTCACTAAGAGGACCAATTGCAGGATCAAAGCTACAACCACCAATAAGGATCCCAAAGAGCATACCTTGGAGCCTTCAAACTGCTGTCTTTTTCCTCTCTGCCCACCCTCAAAACTCTGCAGCATCCCTGACATGTTTAGTCTACATTTTCTGGAAATATTTTATTAGACTAAGAGGGTTCTGAAGCAAATTCATAAAGTTTACAAGAAGAATTTTTTTTTCTTTAAAAGCAAGCTCAGCAATATTTGGGGGTTTTGAAAACTGATGATGCAGCTGACCTACTGGAGAAAAGGCAGTGGGAGGGTCCCTACTGGTATAAATAAATAGTAGCTCCATGCTGCAAACCCACAGCTTGGAAACACAGCTGAAGTCTGAAMTCCACCTCCAGGCAGGATGAGGCTCATCTCAGCAGCTCTGCTTCTCATGCTCCTGGTCAGCAGCAGCCTCTCTCCAGTCCATGGTGAGAACTTTCACTTATGTTTTCACTGTGCTTTGAACAGAAATGGTCTTCAGCCATTTCAATCTTTATTTTTTCTTTTTTCAACTAAAAACTGAGAAGACACCCGATTAAAGGGGAAAACTGCTCAGTTGCTTCTAGATTTATTAAAGTGCTTTAGGATTTTACTCTTAGAAACTGGTTGAGATTTTTATTTAAAGAAGGAAGAGAGATTGACTGGAGTCCAATATTCATGTAACTTGTATTAGGTTTGTATAGTCCTGGCCTTTTTCAGATAAGCTCCTGCTTTCAATTCTTTTCACGTCTCTTCTTTTTTCTGCCTCTCGACGCTAACCCCTCTCACCAGGCCCTTTATAGGGTCTAAATGTTACTGGCGTTATCTGGTCTCTGACTTTGAAATTTTTCAAGTCCATAGCATATGGTTAGGTCTGACATCAGCCATTGTAAATACATCAGGAAGAGTTCCAAATCTAACTGGGGCCGCTATTTCTCTGTGAATAGATACCTAGTTGAAGTGGCGAGTTTTTATTGTACTGAAGGAATGGATGCATATGCAGAAACACCGTTCAAGTTTAGTGAACACATTTTTATTCTTAAAATACAGAGGGGTGGGTTTTCCCCCATTTTTTTTTGTTTCACATTTTATTTTCATGCTTCAAAAAATTGCATTTCTCGCCTCCTCCAGGAAGCTTTCCCATTGATCCTTGCAAAGTTACCTGTGACTTAAGTCCTCTTTTCCCAGGATGCAGTAGAGAGCTTAGGTACACAACCACCTTGTATGGGTTTTATGCACTTGTTTCCTCTACTAACTTGTAAATGCCTGAAAAATTTGGCCCTTTTATAAATGCATGTTTAGTGTGGTGGTAGGCACTCTGGGTTAAGAGAATTTGATAAATCATTTTTTTTTTAAGTTTAGCTTTCACTAAAATGCATGATTTACTTGTAAAGATATGGAGTACTAATAACTTTTGTTGAATGAAAAGTCTTGAATTTTTATTATTCGCATCTCAACAGGCAGAGAGGGTGTGGAGAGTATAAGAGGAAGAACTTCTATGAATTTACAGAAGCAATAACATGTTATAACTAGGTCATGTTCTTTGTTTTTATGTTGAGTGAAAATCAGTTGACTTTTATATAGCATTAACTATAACTCAGTTGTATGTCCCTATAGTGGCAGTTCTCAAATTTTATTAAATGGAGGATCACCTGAGTACTAGTATACTAATACCACAAATTGGCTGGGGATGTGGCTCAAGTGGCATACGTGCGGCCTGGGTTCGATCCTCAGCACCACATACAAATAAAGAGGTTGTGTCCGCCAAAATAATGCCACAAATTAAGAATTTTTTTTTAAGTGTTGTGTGTTTTCAAAGCTAATCTATTTTATGGTTTTGGTGGAAAATGTTTGAAAATAGTCAAATCAAGAAAACAGAAATATACAAACTAAGGCATATTTAGCTGGAAGCACTGGCTTGAAATTTTTAAATCCTCAACTGCACAATATGAAAAATTGGTAATAAAGTTCTAGGTATACATTAAGTGTCTAAGGAATTTAAATAGCTGATTCTGTGTTTGCAGGTGTTCTGGAAGCCTATAACACAAACTTGAAGTGTAGCTGTGTTCAAGGGATCTCAGACTTTATCCATGTAAGACAGATTGGTCGGCTTCAAATTATACCTCCTGGGAATGGTTGCCCAATTGAACAAATCATGTAAGTTGCAAGGGAAAAAATATGTATGATTCCTTTCTCCTAATGAAAATCAGATCAAATATTACTATACAACTAGAACCCTAAAAAGAGATTTACTTGAGTGTTGCTAAAAATTCTGAAATAATAAAATTTGGAAATATTTAGTTACTTGTTGCAGCCCTTGAACTAAGTGTTTTATACTCGGCTATTTTATTCCTTCAACTACTGCATTCAGGCATGTCTATTGCTGTCAACTGCTTTACAGATACAGAGACAGAAACAGGCTTAGCAAGCTTAACTGCCTGCATGAGGCACACCATTAGAAAGGGAAGGATCCGGACCACACCCACATCTCCCCCATCCAAGGTGTCTTCACAGAACCTTGAAGTATGCAATAGAGATAAGATCATTCTCGGGGCTTGCCTGATTTTTTTTTTATTGGTAGCTCTTCCCATGGAAACAGTAAAACAACAATAATTTTTAAAAATCATGCTTTCCTTAAAGTCTAATTAAACCACAATTATCGTCCTCAAGCTCAAAGATGTGAAGTCTAGCTATAATGTGTTTAGAGCAGTTCCTCAGTCTGCAAAGAAAAGTAGAACTCCTTTCTTTGTATTGTATGTCAATTGGCATGACTCAAGTCTCTCGCCTCTCAACCAGAGGAAGTAAGGCACCCTAATTTTCTCTGCTTTAAGGTCAATAGTTTTGAAATGACAAAAATTTGCCTGTCTTCAAGAAAATCTGAATTTCTGAATTTTAACCAGATATAGAAATAAAAGTTGCAAATTATGAGAAACTCCTACCAGCTAGAGGTGCAAATACAAGATTAGAAATCTTATTTTTCCATCATGAACTCAGAAACCAAATTGGAAGATGCTGCCTGAGAACCCATCTATTCCATGACTTCTGACTTCCCTAAGATTCACCTACAGCAGTGGAGTTTCAAAGTTAGATGGATGGATCCTTGCTATACAATAATTTATAGCTAAGACAATGGACACATCAAAAATTATGTTTTTTTTTAAATCACTAGTAGAGTAACATCTCCCAGTTTTCTATCACCTGGGAGATACCACTTTTCCATTGCATGCAAAACCTTTAGCTCTGTCTAGCACTTGATAACTATTTAAACACTGCTTTCCATGAACATGACCTAAAGTGTAGAATCTGAAAATCAGATAATCTTCCTTTGAGTTTTGTTCAATCACGTATTTGCTGTGCAATCTTGGACAAGATTATTTGAATTCTTTAAGCCTCAAATTTCTCATCAGGTAAGAAAACAATTCCTCTAACATAATGCTTTTGTCAGATAAATTGAAATAATCCATGTTACCTGCTAAGCATAGCATGTGATGCATTCTGAGTATAGTATTGGATAATGTGATCCATTAACTGTTCTCACTGCTTTTGTTGTTGCTTAATTCCTTAGAGCAAGTAAAGCTCTAAGGAAAGCTGGTGGTTCCACAAAATATCACTCGGAGCAATCAGCTATTTAACCTCACCTACATTAGATTTCATTAACTTTTTTTTCTGATAAAGGCTATAGAAAATACTTGAGGACCTTTTATTGTTCTCCCCCATTCATTGAACAAGCACATTTTAAAGATTGTGATATCACTTTAGTAGTGAGTCAACCTTAGAGTCTGTTTGGTCCTTCTCCAACTCAAGTAAAGGTGATCAGCAAAACACTGACCTCTGACACATGAGATATTGTCAACTTGGATTCAGCTCCACAAGCTCTCACTTACTGGTCTACAAATGGTTGTTTCTTATTCCTCAGATCTCATGTCACAAATACCTGTTCAGATCCAAAACAACCCAGCTTTGATGTCACTTCACCTAGGAATAATTATTTTCATACCCAACCCTTCGCTATTAAAAATGCAAGATTGACTAAAATGTAACACTGTCTTATTTTTATTTTTGCTAATTTCCCCCCTAGAATCAGGTTGAAGAATAAGACAACTGTGTGTATGAACCCTCACACCTCATGGATCAAGAAATTAATAAATTATTTATCAAAGTAAGTCATACATACCAAGGGGTTTCAGATTCCAATTTGTACTGAAAGATTTCCCTTTGCTAGGCAGTCAAAAGGGGATAATTTTAAATTCATGAGTTACTAAGACAAATACTTGCTTTTTTTGTTACATCTACATAGAGTAGAGCTAACTCATCCCAGGAGTTCAGTAAACTAAATTAGAAAGTAGTAGGTATGATATTCCTTATTTGATATCTTCAGGGAAAATCCATCATTTCTGGTGTATTTCTCTAAGCATGACTTYTTGTGTTTGTTTTTACTTCACAGAAAAAATTTGTTTTCAACTCAAGCTCCAGCGATGAAGAAGATGGGCTGATGTCAACATCCCCCCTCAGAACACCTGCTTTCCCTGCTTATCCTTGCTCTGGATTTTAGTTTTGTTTTTTATTAACTTTTCCAAGAAAAGCAATTTCCYTGTACAAACGAGCATTAAGACTCAATGTAAAAATAAACTGCAGAAGCTGATGTGGGTCAACTCAAGCCTCTTCACACCCATACTTTGCAATCTCATTTAGGGAGGAAAGGTTCTTTGAAAATAATTTAGTAATAAATCGCATAGGATTCTTTTGATAATGTACCTTGTTTAATGGTAATCTGTCCTAGGAAATATGGAAATGAGAATTTAAACTTCAAATATGAATTTGAATTGAATTAAGATGAAAATTGTGGAATGTGTTTTAATCATTTTACCCTAAGAAAAAGATTTCCATGAGAGACTCAAGGCTGCGTATAAACCCGATACAGCTTCATTCTAACAGAGGGCTCCTCAGAGTAAATATCCTCTAAAACCCAATTTGAATTCTTGCCTGGCATATGTAAGGCCCTGGGTTTGATCCGCCTAGTACCCCCCCACACACACACATATACATACACATACACACACAAAAGAATAAAACCATTTTGAGGAGATCCTTCTTCCACTTTTACAGAGTTCCTTTGTAATACTTATTTTCTCAAAATAACATTGAAATATACCCAGGCTTAAAATTCCAGAATATTCAGGAAAAACTAAAAATCATAGATGTATTCTTTTATACATTAGTCTTGACAAAGTTTTTATTCGCGTCTTTTGCATGGACAAAATACCAGTSTCTGGTATCAAATTCTTTAATGTTTCTTGTTAATCTGACGTCCTCCAATAAACATGAGCAAGCATTTTTCTTATGAGCATTTCATTTTTTATAAGAGCTTTATAGTTGTACATAATAGTTGGGTTCATCCTGATAAAAATCATATGCATGGAATGTGTGCCCCACACCATTTTCCCTCCCCCAGTCCCTTCTATCCTCCTTCTCCTCCCCCGTTCTCTTTCCCTTTCTCTGCTAGAATTCCTTTCACTCATCCATTTATACTTGATTGGTTCTTTTTACTTAAAGGTGCAGTTTCCTGTGGTATACTTCATAGTCATATGATTTTTTTAAGAATTCATTCTGCATTGCCTCCCCTATCCCATTCCTCCACTCTGCCTCTCGATCTCCTTCTACTCTACTGATGTAAGCTCTTTGATATCCTATTCTTCYCTCCTCCTCTCCTTTATTTTACTCTAGCTTCCACATGTGAGAGGAAACAGTCAACCTCATTTCACTTAGCATGATATTCTACACTTCCATCTATTTACTGACAAATGCCATAATTTCATTTTTTTATGGATGAGTAGCACTCTGGGTATACATACCACAATTTCTTAATCTGTTGATGAGCATCTGGGTATATTCCATAATTTAGCTATTATGAATAGTGCTGCTATAAATATTGAGGTAGCTGTATTGCTGTAGTATGCTAATTTTAAATCTTTGGGGAAAATACCCAAGAGTGGAATATCTGGGTCATATGGTGCTTCCATCCCTAGTTTTTTGAGGAATCGCCATATTGCTTTCTAGAGTGTTTATACAAATTTTCAGTCCCACCAACAATGTGCAAGTGTACCTTTTCCCCCACATCCTCACCAGTATATATGTATTGTTTATATTCTTGATCACTGCCATTCTGACTGGAGTATGATATCTTAGTGTAGTTTTGATGTGTGTTGTGATCACTAGAGATTGAACATTTTTTCATATGTTGGCCATTTTTTTGTCTTGTTTTTGTTTTTGTTTTTGATAGCAAGGATTGAATCCAGGGGCACTTAAACTCTGAGCCACATCCTTGGCCTTTTTCCTTTTTATTTTGGGACAGGGTCTCACTAAGTTGCCCAGGCTGGTTTTGAAGTTGTGACCCACCTGCCTCAACCTCTCAAGCTGCTGTATACACTGACGTGCACCACCATGTACAGCCATTTGTGCGTCTTAAGAAGTTTCTGTTTAGTTCTATTGCCCATTTGTTGACTGGGTTATTTGTGGGGGGGGGGGGTTGGTGGTTTTTGAGTTCTTTATATATTCTGGATAGTAATCTTTTATCGAAGGAGTAACTGGCAAAGATTTACTCTGTAGGCTTTTTCTTCACATTCTTGTTTCCTTGAGCAATTTTTTTTTGAGTGAACAAAGCAGATTTTTTAAATTTCACTGGTTCTTTTTAGTTATACATGATAGTAGAATTCATTTTGTTATAATTATGCAAGCATGATTGAGCCATTCTTTAGTTCCTCTTAATGGAAAGTAAGGGTTCATCATAGTAATTTTTTCTTTGCATATCAGTCTTTTACAGATGATCTAAAATTGAGCAGGCAAGTGAGTACAGTTACTTAGTGGGAGTGCCTGACCAAGAGAGCCTCTTTCAAAACCTGACATACCAATCRTGAYTTCCTCCGACTTTGAACTCTTCATCAAACACATCCTCCATGTCTCATCATATTGATTCTTAATGTCTCCAGTGTTTCATTTAACACAGTTTTGCATTGAGTTTGACAAATGGAAGGAGGAACTTAAACTCCTGTCCCTTCCTTCCCATCACCTGAKCTCCACAGCCTGTTCATACCTCCTGGACTTCCCTGCGCAATTCTAAGCTCTCTCTGGCTCCCTTTTTTTTTTAATTAAATTTCTGAGGAGGGAATAATATGAATACTTTGTATTTATAATTAAATGTGTTCAATTACAGGAAACAAAGATTATAAAATGTCAAAATTGGGCAATCTAGTGTTTCTCTCTTCAGTATTTAGAGATGAGAATCATTTTCCTGCTTTACTTTGAWCTAGGTCCTCAGGAACCTCAAATGAGAAAGGCCACCATTTCACATCACCCCCACTTTATAGCTAGAGAAGCTGAGACACCGTGTGGTGAAGTAACTGGCTCAAGGCCTTACAGATACTAAATGACAAGTCCAAACTGGAACCCAGGCACTCAGCACTAGGACCCATGCTCTAACCACCACACTGTGCTGACTCCGTAGGAGGTAGATAGTATCCGTAGGAGTAGACATTTAACTGCTCCAGTTCATATGAGTAATACGAGACAAACCAGAATTTGAACCCAGGGCCACCTGAATCTTAAGTGAATGTTCTTAATCATTTCATGAGGCTGCTTCAAGTTTTTCCTAAATATATTTCTTAGCCTATTTTCCCACCCTCCTTTCCTAGCCCAATTAAAGCTAGGAACTATTGTAGAGTGATTATTGATAAGAATAATGTACTCTATTTTAAAAACTAGAAGTTTTATCATTTGTGGCAAAAACAAATGTTTCAAGAAATAGATATGCTTACCCTGATTTCAACWTTATGCAATGCATAAATGTATCAAAATATCCATGGTTCCCCATAAACATGTACAGTTCTTAGGTGTCAAAAATAAGAAAAGCAAGCCAAGGAAGAGCAGAGCTTGCTGCAGCTTCCAACCTCCCCTGGGTTGAGGCATTCTTCTGTGTAGTCCAATTCTAGGAGATYTGAGCCACTGAGACAGTGAGGCAGGAAGACACTGGGCAAAATCATAGTACATTTAAGGATAGCCTGGTTTGGAACAGGAAGCTTAAGTGATAATTAGATGCAGGAAAATTTGTTGTATCAGTTAATGGAGCATCTGGGGGAAAGCCTGGAAGAGAAGAAATGTGAAACAGGCAGAATTTGGGTAATTATGACTATGTATGTATATACACACATGCATATGCAAATTAATTAAAATGCAAAGTAAATAGAATTGGAGGAAAACTACAAGGTCATCTGACTAAAGTGGAATGGTTGGCTCTGGGAGGCTGAATGAAAGAGCTAGAAGGCCAAGCTGCACAGGATCTCCTGGCAGCAGAATGCAAGAAACCACAAACAAACCTAGTTGAGCCTCACTTGTGCCACTTTCACTCATCCCACCAGCAGAAACCTAGGAGCAAGAGATTCTGCTTTGCCAAACAAAGAATGCAGCCCTGGCCTTAACTTGAAATGAYTTGCCAGATGTTTGGGCTTCATTCTCTTATCTTCCATTTTCCATGAGTTTCCTTTCAACAAACCTTCCCTTCCATGAGATGTGCCATTTTATTGCTCCCAACTTGAGATGGGAGTTGGTGCATGTTCCAAGGTCTTCTTGCTCTGGTGTAAAGTTTGGTGGTATTTTGCAGCAGAATTAATGTTCTTGTCTATRAAAGAAACTCCATGGAACTGAGGAGGAGGACCCCCAGGAATCCAGAAGGGTGACATTTGAAAGAGAAATCATACCATCTTGTAACCTCCAACAAAGGCATGTTTCTCCATGTGTTGTGTCTCTAAAGACCATCATCCACATCACCCAGAAACTTGTTACAATATATATCCTCCAGTCCCTCCCAGCCTTACTGAACCAGAAACTCAAAGGAAGAGCTCAGCAATCTGTATTTAACATGCTATTTTATTCTGTATTTGAAGGAAAAGTATTTTGTCCCTTGTTCCTAGCATAAAACTCTTAAAACCCTTGGAATTTTTTGATTGATAGAAGCAACTCTCATTATTCATAATGAGCCTCTGTCAACCCATACCCAACTTTAGGCTAAAGAGAGATTAGCAGGCCACTAGACAACTTCAGGTTGGGGGCTAGCAGACAGAGGAACCAACCATGTTTATATTTGGTTGGAACTTTCAGCACCCTTTATCCCACCCCCACTAAGGAAACAAGAGGGTGTGGAGATTAAATTAATCAACTAAGGACAAAAATTTAATYGATCCTGCCAAAATCAACATTAAAAACCCTAAAACAGGCTGGGGAGATAGCTCAGTTGGTGGAGTGCTTACCTTGCATGTACGAGGTCCTGGGTTCAAACCCAAGCACACACACACACACACACAAACAATGGGGTTCAGAAAGGTCCAGGTAAAGACATTTAGGTGCTAGGAGGGTGGTGTACCTGGAAAGGACACGGAAGTTCTGTGCCCTCTTCTCTTTCCTTGCCCTAGGTATCTCTTCCATTTAGCTGTTCCTGGGTTGA